TGGTGCATTGGCCAGGTCGGTCACTATGGGAACTTAGAGTGCAAATGCCTGGAAGAACGGAACCGCTGAGATCTCGCATAATACACGGAATCTAGTGGTCTCACTCAAATAGAAGGTAGGAAATAAATTCATCTAGTGAACGTAAGGGTTTGAAAGGTAACTAACGCACATGTGTAGAGAAAATGGTGCATCGGCCAGTCTGGCTGGCATTTCGCACTCATAGTGCAGGTGGGGCCTGGGAGAACGGAAACGGTCATTTCTCAAAAAGTATAGGGAATCTAACGGTCTCACTCGATCAGAAGGTGGGACATTTATAAATCTAGTCAGCTAAAAAGGTTTGAAATGTATTCAACGCACATGTATAGAGAAAATGGTGCATTGGCCAGGTCGGTCAGTATCGGAACTTAAAATGCAAATGCCAGGGAGAACGGAAGCGCTCAGATCTGGCATAGTACGCGGAATCTAGTGGTCTCACTCAAATAGAAGGTAGGAAATAAATTCATCTAAGGAACGTAAGGGTTTGAAAGGTAACTAACGCACATGTGTAGAGAAAATGGTGCATCGGCCAGTCTGGCCGGCATTTCGCACTCATAGTGCAGGTGGGGCCTGGGAGAACGGAAACGGCTCAGTTTCTCAAAAAGTATAGGGAATCTAACGGTCTCACTCGATCAGAAGGTGGGACATATATAAATCTAGTCAGCTAAAAAGGTTTGAAATGTATTCAACGCACATGTATAGAGAAAATGGTGCATTGGCCAGGTCGGTCAGTATCAGAACTTAAAATGCAAATGCCAGGGAGAACGGAAGCGCTCAGATCTGGCATAGTACGCGGAATCTAGTGGTCTCACTCAAATAGAAGGTAGGAAATAAATTCATATAGTGAACGTAAGGGTTTGAAAGGTAACTAACGCACATGTGTAGAGAAAATGGTGCATCGGCCAGTCTGGCCGGCATTTCGCACTCATAGTGCAGGTGGGGCCACGGAGAACGGAAACGCTCATTTCTTAAAAAGTAGAGGGAATCTAGCGGTCTCACTCGATCAGAAGGTGGGAAATATATAAATCTAGTGAGCTAAAAAGGTTGGAAAGGAATCTAATGCATATGTATATGGAAAGTGGTGCATTGGCCAGGTCGGTCAGTATGGCAACTTAGAGTGCAAATGCCTGGGAGAACGGAACCGCTCAGATCTCGCATAATACACGAAATCTAGTGGTCTCACTCACATATAAGGTAGGAAATATATTAATCTAGTGAACGTAAGGGTTTGAAAGGTAACTAACGCACATGTGTAGAGAAAATGGTGCATCGGCCAGTCTGGCCGGCATTTCGCACTCATAGTGCAAGTGGGGCCAGGAAGAATGGAAACGCTCGTTTCTCAAAAAGTAGAGGGAATCTAACGGTCTCGCTTGATCAGAAGGTGGAAAATATATAAATCTAGTCAGCTAAAAAGGTTTGAAATGTATTCAATGCACATGTATAGAGAAAATGGTGCATTGACCAGTGCGGTCAGTATCGGAACTTAGAGTGCAAATGCCAGGGAGAACGGAAGCGCTCAGAACTCGCATAGTACACGGAATCAAGTGGTCTCACTCAAATAGAAGGTAGAAAATATATTCATCTAGTGAACGTAAGGGTTTGAAAGGTAACTAACGCACATGTGTAGAGAAAAATGTGCATCGGCCAGTCTGGCCGGCATTTCGCACTTATAGTGCAAGTAGGGCCAAGGAGAACGGAAACGCCCATTTCTCAAAATGTAAAGGGAATCTAGCGGTCTCACTCGATCAGAAGGTGGGAAATATATATATCTAGTGAGCTAAAAGGGTTGGAAAGGAATCTAATGCATATGTATATGCAAAATGGTGCATTGGTCAGGTCGGTCAGTATGGGAACTTAGAGTGCAAATTCCTAGGAGAACGAAAGCGCTCAGATCTCGCATAGTACACGGAATCTAGTGGTCTCACTCAAATATAAGGTAGGAAATATATTAATCGTTTGAACGTAAGGGTCTGAAGGTTAACTAACGCACATGTGTAGAGAAAATGGTGCATCGGCCAGTCTGGCCGGCATTTTGCACTTATAGTGCAAGTGGGGCCAGGGAGAACGGAAATGCTCGTTTCTCAAAAAGTAAAGGGAATCTAGCGGTCTCACTCGATCAGAAGGTGGGAAATATATAAATCTAGTCAGCTAATAAGGTTTGAAAGGAATCTAATGCATATGTACATGGAAAATGGTGCATTGGCCATGTCGGTCAGTATCGGAACAAAAAATGCAAATGCTAGGGAGAACGGAAGCGCTCAGATCTCGCATAGTACACGGAATCAAGTGGTCTCACTCAAATAGAAAGTAGGAAATATATTCATCTAGTGAACGTAAGGGTTTGAAAGGTAACTAACGCACATGTGTAGAGAAAATGGTGCATCGGCCAGTCTGGCCGGCATTTCGCACTTATAGTGCAAGTAGGGCCAAGGAGAACGAAAACGCTCATTTCTCAAAAAGTAAAGGGAATCTAGCGGTCTCACTTGATCAGAAGGTGGGAAATTTATAAATCTAGTGAGCTAATAAGGTTTGAAAGGCATCTAATGCACATGTATATAGAAAATGGTGCATTGGCGAGGTCGGTCAGTATGGGAACTTAAAGTGCAAATGCCTAGGAGAACAGAACCGCTCAGATCTCGCATAGTACACAGAATCTAGTGGTCTCACTCAAATGTAAGGTAGGAAATATATTAATTGAGTGAACGTAAGGGTTTGAAAGGTAACTAACGCACATGTGTAGAGAAAATGGTGCATCGGCCAGTCTGGCCGGCATTTCGCACTTATAGTGCAAGTAGGGCCAAGGAGAACGAAAACGCTCATTTCTCAAAAAGTAAAGGGAATCTAGCGGTCCCACTCGATCAAAAGGTGGAAAATATAGAAATCTAGTGAGCTAATAAGGTTCGGAAGGAATCTAATGCATATGTATATGGAAAGTGGTGCATTGGCCAGGTCGGTCAGTATGGGAACTTAGAGTGCAAATACCTGGGAGAACGGAACCGCTCAGATCTCGCATAATACACGGAATCTAGTGGTCTCACTCAAATATAAGGTAGGAAATATATTCATCTAGTGAACGTAAGGGTTTGAAAGGTAACTAACGCACATGTGTAGAGAAAATGGTGCATCGGCCAGTCTGGCCGGCATTTCGCACTCATAGTGCAGGTGGGGCCACGGAGAACGGAAACGCTCGTTTCTCAAAAAGTAGAGGGAATCTAACGGTCTGACTCGATCAGAAGGTGGGAAATATATAAATCAAGTCAGCTAAAAAGGTTTGAAATGTATTCTACGCACATGTATAGAGAAAATGGTGCATTGGCCAGGTCGGTCAGTATCGGAACTTAAAATGCAAATGCCAGGGAGAACGGAAGCGCTCAGATCTCGCATAGTACACGGAATCAAGTGGTCTCACTCAAATAGAAAGTAGGAAATATATACATCTAGTGAACGTAAGGGTTTGAAAGGTAACTAACGCACATGTGTAGAGAAAATTGTGCATCGGCCAGTCTGGCCGGCATTTCGCACTTATAGTGCAACTAGGGCCAAGGAGAACGAAAACGCTCATTTCTCAAAAAGTAGAGGGAATCTAGCGGTCTCACTCGATCAGAAGGTGGGAAATATTTAAATCTAGTGAGCTAATAAGGTTCGAAAGGAATCTAAAGCATATGTATATGGAAAATGGTGCATTGGCCAGGTCGGTCAGTATGGGAACTTAGAGTGCAAATGCCAGGGAGAACGGAAGCGCTCAGATCTCGCATAGTACACGGAATCTAGTGGTCTCACTCAAATAGAAGGTAGGAAATAAATTCATCTAGTGAACGTAAGGGTTTGAAAGGTAACTAACGCACATGTGTAGAGAAAATGGTGCATCGGCCAGTCTGGCCGGCATTTCGCACTTATAGTGCAAGTAGGGCCAAGTAGAACGGAAACGCCCATTTATCAAAAAGTAAAGGGAATCTAGCGGTCTCACTCGATCAGAAGGTGGGAAATATATAAATCTAGTGAGCTAATAAGGTTCGGAAGGAATCTAATGCATATGTATATGGAAAGTGGTGCGTTGGCCAGGTCGGTTAGTATGGGAACTTAGAGTGCAAATGCCTGGGAGAACGGAACCGCTCAGATCTCGCACAATACACGGAATCTAGTGGTCTCACTCAAATATAAGGTAGGAAATATATTCATCTAGTGAACGTAAGGGATTGAAAGGTAACTAACGCACATGTGTGGAGAAAATAGTGCATCGGCCAGTCTGGCCGGCATTTCGCACTCATAGTGCAGGTGGGGCCACGGAGAACGGAAACGCTCGTTTCTCAAAAAGTAGAAGGAATCTAACGGTCTCACTCAATCAGAAGGTGGGAAATATATAAATATAGTCAGCTAAAAAGGTTTGAAATGTATTCAACGCACATGTATAGAGAAAATGGTGCATTGGCCAGGTCGGTCAGTATCGGAACTTAAAATGCAAATGCCAGGGAGAACGGAAGCGCTCAGATCTCGCATAGTACACGGAATCAAGTGGTCTCACTCAAATAAAAAGTAGGAAATATATTCATCTAGTGAACGTAAGGGTTTGAAAGGTAACTAACGCACATGTGTAGAGAAAATTGTGCATCGGCCAGTCTTGAGAAAGTACGAACGAGAAGTGAATGACTATGAAAAAGAAGTGGGTACAAATAGGAAACCCTAATTGGGTTGTACCCCCTATGGGATACCCCACTATAGCCTACAGAAATAAGTAAGCTATATGTTCTGACACACCCCCATAGGCAAAGTGGGGGAGAACAAGGGGTCACAAGACCAGTCAAGCAAAGCAAAGCAAAGCTCAGGGTGGATCACAAAGTCACCACGCATTCCGAGCACAAGTTCAAAGGCCAGAAGGCCAGTTCACATGCAAGATCATATATAGAGATATAAAAGAGTCAAGCAAGCAAGAGCAAGAGTATATATAGGTGAAGGTACAAGCAAGGTCAAGAGCAGAGCAAGTGAGGCAAGACAGGCACAAGACCCAACTGCGTGCAACAACGCTGATGATCACAAGGCGCAAGTGCCTTGGTGAAGACATCAGCAGTGTTGGCCTCAGAGGCCACGTACGCAAGTCGCAACTGTCCACGCTGCTGTAGCTCACGAGCAAGAAAGTAGCGGAGAGCAATGTGCTTCGTTCTGTGCTCCAGTCGCTGCTCTCGACACAAGGCCAGCATGGCCTTGTTGTCTACGTACAGGACTGGAGGAGAACGAGGCGGCTCTCCAAGGTCGGTCAGCAGGTAGGTGAGCCAGCGTAACTCCTGTGCAGCCATAGCCCCAGCGTAGATCTCAGCCTCACAACTGGAGCCGAGAACAGAAGACGAGCGGGTAGCCCGCCACGAGACAGAGCCGGAACCAAGGCTGAAGGAGTAACCCTGTGACGACCGCTGCGTAGCCTGGTCGTCAGCCCAAGAAGCGTCTGCGTGCCCAGTGAGGACCACTGGACTGCGCCCTCCAAGCACTAGCCCCATGCCCGACGTACTGCACAAGTAGCGCAACACCCTCTTTGCTGCAGCCATGTGCTCTGGTCGGTGTCTCCCAGGAGCAACAAAGCGTGCAAGAATGCTAAGAGGGTATGCGAGGTCAGGTCGTGTGCAGGTCATCAGGTACATGAGGCAGCCAACAAGCTCTGCAAACGGGCCACTCGACTCTACGGACTCATCCGAAGGCAGAGCTGAGAGTGAGTGGCGAGTAGGCAGAGGAGTGGCCTGAGGCGAGGAGTACGTGAAGCCGAAGCGCTGAAGGACCTGCTGCACCATGTGTGACTGAGTCAGGGTAATGGTGCGGCGTGCTCTATCCCGGGTGATCTGCAAGCCAAGGTAGCTGCGCAGTTCACCCAGGTCAGTGCACGTGTGTCTCTTCTGCAGCTCAGACTTCACGTAGGCGAGTCCAGCAGTGTCAGCTGTGGCAAAGACCAAGTCGTCGACGTACACGAGGATGTAGAACGGCGGCAGAGAGGTGTCGGTGCGCAGAAACAGCGACGGGTCGGCAGTAGAAGGAGCAAACCCAAGTGCCGCGAGCGTAGTCCTCAGTGTGTCGTGCCACTCACGTGGCGCCTGGCGGAGACCGTAGACTGGACGCCGGAGACTCCACTGGGTACCAGGAGGGAAAGACCCAGTGAAGCCAGGTGGGCGGCGCAGCCAGATCTCCTCGTGCAGGCTGCCCTGCAAGAAAGCTGTGCTGAAGTCGAGAGAGTGCAGCTCATAGTCACGGTGAGCAGCAACGTGCAGCAGAACCCGAAGAGTGGTCATCTTCGGGGTGGGGGAGAAGGTCTGGAAGTAGTCAACCCCCTGCCGCTGACTGAAGCCACGAGCCACGTAGCGCGCCTTGAAGACAGGCGGAGAACCCGGCGGCCGCTTCACCCTGAAAATCCACATGCCACTGACGATGTTCGCCCCAGGAGGGGGTACAGCGTCAACGTAGGTGCCTGTGGACTTCCAGGAAGCCATCTCTGCATCCATAGCTGCCTGCCACTGAGAGGAGTAGGGACCCTCTATCGCCTCCGCGTAAGAGCGCGGAGTCGGGATGTCTGGTGCATCCGGGTCTCCCTCAGGGGCTAGCAGTACAGACGCGAGACGAGGTGAAGCGGCAGCCAGACACTGGAACTCCTCCTGCCTGTCCTCAAGGACGTCCGTGCCAAGGGCACACTCACCCCCGACGGACGGAGGACAGGCGGACTCAGACTCAGTGACAAGACGAGCAGCGTAGTCGAGACGACAGCGCGCAGCAAAGTCGACAAGCTCAGTGACAAGGGCAGACGCAGCAGACGACTCGAAGGAAGGGTCAGTGACAGCAGTAGCAAGGAGACGCGTGACAGTAGGACTGGCAGCACGAAGAGAGTCCGACTCCGGGTCGGCAAGAGCAGGAAGAGAGGAAGCAGGAGGAGAAGGCAAAGGGGCACGCAGAGGAGCAGTGGACGGACGCAGCGACATCCGGTGCGTGCCAGGGACAGGAGGAGGACGCTGACGCGAACCGCGACCACTAGCGCGCGCAGGACGAACAGGCGACGCAGGACGAGACGCAGGCTCACGACGCTCAGTAAGACCTCCAGTCGGACCAGCGTAGGGAGAAGGAGCAGGCAAAGGGGAGGCAGGCTGTAGCTGTGGCTGTGACTGGACAGGCTGCGGACCCTCTACGGGAGGAGGAGAAGGTGTAAGACCAAGAACCTGCTGAAGGAGCGGAACGAAGTAAGGTCGGGGCCGCGCGGCGACGCTAGAAACAGCTGGAACAGCGCCAGCAGCCCCGGCCGGAGCACCCACTCCAGCAGCACCTCCAGCAGCACCACCAGAGGCCCCAGAAGCAGCACCAGGAGTACCCGCAGGCGGACCGCCAGCGGCAGGCTCAGCGACAACACCCTCAGCAGTACCAGCTCCAGGAGAACTCTCAGACCCAGCAGCTCCAACACCCAAAGGACGAGCACCGTCGGGACGCGCGACAGCAGTACCCTCTGCAGCCGAAGAACCACCAGCACCAGCAGCACGCCTCCAGCGCCTGGCAAACCACTCACGCAGCTCCGGTGGGGAGAGTGGCTCCCGGCGAGACGAAGCACCCCCAGGCTCAGCACCCCCAGGCTCAGTACCCCCAGGCTCAGCACCCCCAGGCTCAGCACCCCCAGGCACAGCACCCCCAGGCTCAGCACCCCCAGGCTCAGCACCCCCAGGCTCAGCACCCCCAGGCTCAGCACCCCCAGGCTCAGCACCCCTAGGCTCAGCACCAGCAGCAGCACCAGAGTCCCCAGTGACCTCGACAGGCTCGACCGCGTCTACCTGGGACACACCTGAAGGGGCAGGACCCTGAGGGGGGAGGGGGACTACCGGGGGGGGGCCTGGGACCAAGAAGAGCGGGGGTGGGGGGAGGGACGGAGTGCGGTAGGGGAAGAGGCGGTAGTAGGGTACCGACTCGTCGAACGTGACGTCCTGGGAGGACAGAACACGTCGAGAGGTGGGGTGGTAGAACTGCCACCCAGGGGCGTCGGGGGGGAACCCCAGGAAGACGCAGGGAGCAGCGCGAGGGGACAGCTTGTCCGCAGACAAGTCGCGGACAAACGCCCGAGATCCCCAGACCCGGAACGCCGACGCATCGCCAACCTTCCCCGTCCACATCAAGACTGGGGACATCGCGGGTCGAGAGACCCGGGGGTGAAGGTTGATCTGATGCGCGGCGTACCTGACCGCAAACGGCCACAGAAAATGGGGGGCAGCCGCATGCATCATGGACGTACGAGCGACGTCCATGACCATGCCAATGCGGCGCTCAGCAATCCCATTCTGCTGTGGTGAGTCCGGAAGCGTGAAGGTCTGACGAATGCCTCGCGCACGACAGTAGGCACTCAGGAGGCCAGAGGAGAACTCTCCGCCTCTGTCCGAGTGCAGACGCAAAACAGGAAAGTCAGAGCCAAAGCTCCTCCGAAGCTGGAGACGAGCTGCGCGGATCCAAACGATCAACACCTCAGTGACCTCACCCTTGCTGCGCAAGGGGAAGACTGTGGTGTAACGCGAGTAGTCGTCAACCACCAGCAGGAAGTAGCGCTCCTGACCCTGTCCACAGACGCGGGCTGGGCCCCACACGTCCATGTGAAGCGTCTGCAACGGGGCCTCTGTCGGAGGAAACTGGGAGGAGTGAGGGGCAGCACGCTGGCGCCCCTCGACACAGGGGACACAGGCAGGGCCAGGGCCCGGAGGAAAGGGAGGTAGGGACCGGGGAAGACCAGACACAAGGACTCGCGAGGCCATGCCTCTGAGCCGAAGCAGAGAGGGGTGGCCAAGGCGGTGGTGCCAGAGGAGGGTCTCGTGAGACAGACGACGACACGAGCAGGGGGCAGACTCAGGACCGGACCTGGACGCTGCAGCAAACACCTGACCAGACGAAGGGACCCTACCAGACGTAGTACCTGGAGGAGAAGCAGTGGTCAGTGTGTACAGGCTCGACCCTGGCCGACGTGTGAACGTAGCCAGGTGGCGACCTGTATCCGCCTCAGTGCAGTGAGTCACCCGCTGACGAGCAGGGGTGAACTGGTGGACACCCGCATCCTGGAGGTCAGCACCACTCACCAAGTTCGTCGAGAACGAGGGGAGGTAGAGACCAGTCAGGGTGCCAGAGGGGGCCGCCGGACACGGGAGGACAGTGGAGAAGCGAGACAGGACAGGCCCCCCAGAGGGGTCAGCTAGGGACACCGCAACCGGCCGACTCAGTGGCGTGAGAGTGGTGCGGTCCCGAAAGAAGGAGCGAGACGCTCCAGAGTCAAGGGTGAAGGTGTGAGAGGCCGAAGCCGACACAGTACCTGAGAGGGCAGACTCACCAGCACCTGAGAGCACAGACGCACTGGCACCTAGAGCAGCAGCCTCACTAGTACCTGACGCGGCAGTACCAATGCCCGGGTCGGGCGGGAAACACCGGTAACAGTCATCCTCATCACTACCAGTCACAGCATACATAGCAGAGAGAATAGCATCAAAGTCAAGATCATAAATGGCTACACCAGCCCTAGACAGTTCCCCCCAGCGGGGGATCTCAGCGGCCTCCGGAAACTGCTGACGCCAGGCGTCGGTCAGGCGGCCAAAGCAGCGGCGCGCTGTGTGGGTGCCTCCACACCTCTCCCCCGCACGGTCGCCGGAGCGAAGAACGTAGGGGCAGGGACCAAACGCACCACCACGCTGACGCTGCAAGTACCACTCACGGAGCTGCTGAGGGGCGGGGACGGTGCGAGACCGCTGCTGCTGCTGCTGCTGCTGCTGCTGGCGCTGACCACCCCCAGAGCTGCTCCGCTGGGACGAGCCACTCCGACCCCCGCCGCCTCCGCCACTCCCGCCTCCACCGCCACTCCCACCTCCACCGCCACCCCCGTCTCCACCGCCACCGCCCCCACCGGTACCCTCGCCCCCGCCTCCTCCGCTGCCGCCTCCGCCGCCACCTCCGCCTCCACCTCCTCCACCGGTACCCCCACTCCCGCCACCACCTCCACCGCCACCCCCACTCCCCCCGCCACCCCCACCTCCTCCGCCACTGCCTCCTCTAGATCCACCCGCTCCCTTGCCCCCCTTGCCCTTGCCAGAGCGGCGTCTGCCGCTGGGGGCAGACGCCGCACCGACCGACTCAAAACCAGCGAGGTCGGCCGTAGCAGCAGAGGCGACAGAGGGCAGCAGGGGGGAAGGAGAACACCCCTCAAAGATGGGGGTGCGAGGGTCACCCCTAGAGGCCCCTACAGCGACTATACTCTTCTCAGCCGCTAGCAGGGACTCCTCAAGGAGGTCGACAGTGAGGGTGGTGGGACAGACAGCGAGAAACTGGTCCCTAACGACACGAAGGGACTCAGGAAGACGGGTGACGAGAAAGTAGAGAGTGATATACATGGGAGGAGGGTTTGCGGCGCGGAACTCAGCAGGAAGGGCAGCGCGGTAGCGAGCGTCACTAGTGCGGAGGTGGGTAACGAGGTCAGCGACAGTGGGAAAGGAAGCGAGGTCAGGGAAGAGAAACGGTAGCATGAGGCGGCTAAGGGTAGCGGAGGAAGGAGAGGAGTAGCGTGCAACTACAGCGTCGTACAAGGCCTGAGCGGTCTTGCACTGACTAAAGTGGGCACGCTCAGAGGAAGGGAGGTGGCGACGCACAGCAAGACGTGCAGCAGCATCGCGGGTCGCCCACTTGGAGCGAACGGCAGAGTCAGCATCAGCAGGCGGGGCAGGGACAGCTCCAGAGACAAAGTCAAAGAGAGAGACCTCATCTATCGCATCACACAGTAAGTACAGCTGCAGGTCTTCAATCCAGACGGCAAAGTCAATGGCCCTCCCCTCAGCGTCAAAAGTAAGAACATTGGGGGTGGCCATGGCAGCAGCTGAAAGTCTCACCGGGCTGGAAGAGTCGGGTAGGTCAGCAGCAGAGGAACACAGCTCAGGGACAGCAGCACGGCTCCTCAGGTGGCTCGAGTGGCTCAGGCGGCTCGGGCGGCTCGGGCGGCTCGGGCGGCTCGCGCGGCTCGGGTGGCGTAGGGGCTGACGGGCGGCGCGGGCTGCTGGGGCTGCTCACGTGCAGTACGGCGGGCTGCAGCAGGGCCGGTGGTGGGCTGTAGCAGGGCCGGTGGCGGGCTGTAGCAGGGCCGGTGGCGGGCTGCAGCAGGGGCCGGTGGCGGCTGTAGCAGGGCCGGTGGCGGGCTGTAGCAGGGCCGGCGGCGGGCTGTAGTAGGGGCCGGTGGCGGCTGTAGCAGGGGCGGTGGCGGGCTATAGCAGGGGCCGGTGCGGGCTGTAGTGGGGCCGACGAGGGGCCGAAGTGGGGCCTAGGCGGGCCGGCGGGCTGTAGGCGGGGCCGACGCGGCGGGCTGTAGCAGGGGCCGGTGGCGGGCCTAAGCGGGGCCAGCGCGGGGCCGACAGGGCGTAGGTGGGGCCGACGCGGGGCCGAAGAGGGGCCTAAGCGGGGCCGACGGAGCCTACGCGGGGCCGACACGGGGCCGAGACGGGGCCTGGGCGGGGCCTACGCGGGGCCGACGAGGTGTACGCGGGGCCGACGAGGTGTACGCGGGGCCGACGAGGTGTACGCGGGGCCGACGAGGTGTACGCGGGGCCGACGAGGTGTACGCGGGGTCGACGAGGTGTACGCGGGGTCGACGAGGGGTACGCGGGGCCGACGAGGTGTACGCGGGGCCGACGAGGTGTACGCGGGGCCGACGAGGTGTACGCGGGGTCGACGAGGGGTACGCGGGGCCGACGAGGGGTACGCGGGGCCTACGCGGGGCCGACGAGGGGTACGCGGGGCCTACGCGGGGCCTACGTGGGGCCGACGAGGGGTACGCGGGGCCTACGCGGGGCCGACGAGGGGTACGCGGGGCCGACGAGGGGTACGCGGGGCCTACGCGGGGCCGACGAGGGGTACGCGGGGCCGACGAGGGGCCTAAGCAGGGGCCGACGAGGGGCCTAAGCGGGGCCGACGAGGGGCCTAAGCGGGGCCGACGAGGGGCCTAAGCGGGGGGCCGACGAGGGGCCTAAGCGGGGGGCCGACGAGGGGCCTAAGCGGGAGCACGACGGGAGGGGCGACTCGGAGGGTCGCTAAAAAAAATGCGCGCCTCGGGGCGCGCTTCGGTGGGCCCTAGGAACAGGCCCTAGGAAGGGACCTGCTCTGATTCCATGAGAAAGTACGAACGAGAAGTGAATGACTATGAAAAAGAAGTGGGTACAAATAGGAAACCCTAATTGGGTTGTACCCCCTATGGGATACCCCACTATAGCCTACAGAAATAAGTAAGCTATATGTTCTGACAAGTCTCGCCGGCATTTCGCACTTATAGTGCAACTAGGGCCAAGGAGAACGGAAACGCTCATTTCTTAAAAAGTAGAGGGAATCTAGCGGTCTCACTCGATCAGAAGGTGGGAAATATATAAATCTAGTGAGCTAAAAAGGTTCGAAAGGAATCTAATGCATATGTATCTGGAAAATGGTGCATTGGCCAGGTCGGTCAGTATGGGAACTTAGAGTGCAAATGTCAGGGAGAACGGAAGCGCTCAGATCTCGCATAGTACACGGAATATAGTGGTCTCACTCAAATAGAAGGTAGGAAATATATTCATCTAGTGAACGTAAGGGTTTGAAAGGTAACTAACGCACATGTGTAGAGAAAATGGTGCATCGGCCAGTCTGGCCGGCATTTCGCACTTATATTGCAAGTAGGGCCAAGGAGAACGGAAACGCTCATTTCTTAAAAAGTAGAGGGAATCTAGCGGTCTTATTCGATCAGAAGGTGGGAAATATATAAATCTAGTGAGCTAATAAGGTTCGAAAGGAATCTAATGCATATGTATATGGAAAATGGTGCATTGGCCAGGTCGGTCAGTATGGGAACTTAGAGTGCAAATGCCAGGGAGACAGAAGCGCTTAGATCTAATATATTCATCTAGTGAACGTAAGGGTTTGAAAGGTAACTAACGCACATGTGTAGATAAAATTGTGCATCGGCCAGTCTGGCCGGCATTTCGCACTTATAGTGCAACTAGGGCCAAGGAGAACGGAAACGCTCATTTCTCAAAAAGTAGAGGGAATCTAGCAGTCTCACTCGATCAGAAGGTGGGAAATATATAAATATAGTGAGCTAATAAGGTTCGAAAGGAATCTAATGCATATGTATATGGAAAATGGTGCATTGGCCAGGTCGGTCAGTATGGGAACTTAGAGTGCAAATGCCATGGAGAACGGAAGCGCTCAGATCTCGCATAGTACACGGAATCTAGTTGTCTCACTCAAATAGAAGGTAGGAAATAAATTCATCTAGTGAACGTAAGGGTTTGAAAGGTAACTAACGCACATGTGTAGAGAAAATGGTGCATCGGCCAGTCTGGCCGGCATTTCGCACTCATAGTGCAGGTGGGGCCAGGAAGAACGGAAACGCTAATTTCTCAAAAAATAGAGGGAATCTAACGGTCTCACTCCATCAGAAGGTGGGAAATATATAAATCTAGTCAGCTAAAAAGGTTTGAAATGTTATTCAACGCACATGTATAGAGAAAATGGTGCATTGGCCAGGTCGGTCAGTATCGGAACTTAAAATGCAAATGCCAGGGAGAACGGAAGCGCTCAGATCTCATCATATGTATATGGAAAATGGTGCATTGGCCAGGTCGGTCAGTATGGGAACTTAGAGTGCAAATGCCAGGGAGACAGAAGCGCTTAGATCTAATATATTCATCTAGTGAACGTAAGGGTTTGAAAGGTAACTAACGCACATGTGTAGATAAAATTGTGCATCGGCCAGTCTGGCCGGCATTTCGCACTTATAGTGCAACTAGGGCCAAGGAGAACGGAAACGCTCATTTCTCAAAAAGTAGAGGGAATCTAGCAGTCTCACTCGATCAGAAGGTGGGAAATATATAAATATAGTGAGCTAATAAGGTTCGAAAGGAATCTAATGCATATGTATATGGAAAATGGTGCATTGGCCAGGTCGGTCAGTATGGGAACTTAGAGTGCAAATGCCATGGAGAACGGAAGCGCTCAGATCTCGCATAGTACACGGAATCTAGTTGTCTCACTCAAATAGAAGGTAGGAAATAAATTCATCTAGTGAACGTAAGGGTTTGAAAGGTAACTAACGCACATGTGTAGAGAAAATGGTGCATCGGCCAGTCTGGCCGGCATTTCGCACTCATAGTGCAGGTGGGGCCAGGAAGAACGGAAACGCTAATTTCTCAAAAAATAGAGGGAATCTAACGGTCTCACTCCATCAGAAGGTGGGAAATATATAAATCTAGTCAGCTAAAAAGGTTTGAAATGTTTTCAACGCACATGTATAGAGAAAATGGTGCATTGGCCAGGTCGGTCAGTATCGGAACTTAAAATGCAAATGCCAGGGAGAACGGAAGCGCTCAGATCTCGCATAGTACACGGAATCAAGTGGTCTCACTCAAATAGAAAGTAGGAAATATATTCATCTGGTGAACGTAAGGGTTTGAAAGGTAACTAACGCACATGTGTAGAGAAAATGGTGCATCGGCCAGTCTAGCCGGTATTTCGCACTCATAATGCAGGTGGGGCCAGGGAGAACGGAAACGCTCGTTTCTCAAAAAGTAGAGGGAATCTAACGGTCTCACTCAATCAGAAGGTGGGAAATATATAAATCTAGTCAGCTAAAAAGGTTTGAAATGTATTCAACGCAAATGTATAGAGAAAATGGTGCATTGGCCAGGTCGGTCAGTATGGGAACTTAGAGTGCAAATGCCAGGGAGAACGGAAGCGCTTAGATCTCGCATAGTACACGGAATCTAGTTGTCTCTCTCAAATAGAAGGAAGGAAATAAATTCATCTAGTGAACGAAAGGGTTTGAAAGGTAACTAACGCACATGTGTAGAGAAAATAGTGCATCGGCCAGTCTGGCCGGCATTTCGCACTTATAGTGCAAGTAGGGCCAAGGAGAACGGAAACGCTCATTTCTCAAAAAGTAAAGGGAATCTAGCGGTCTCACTCGATCAGAAGGTGGGAAATATATAAATCTAGTGAGCTAATAAGGTTCGAAAGGAATCTAATGCATATGTATATGGAAAATGGTGCATTGGCCAGGTCGGTCAATATGGGAACTTAGAGTGCAAATGCCAGGGAGAACGGAAGCGCTCAGATCTCGCATAATACATGGAATCTAGTGGTCTCACTCAAATATAAGGTAGGAAATATATTCATCTAGTGAACGTAAGGGTTTAAAAAGGTAACTAACGCACATGTGAAGAGAAAATGGTGCATCGGCCAGTCTGGCCGGCATTTCGCACTCATAGTGCAGGTGGGGCCAGAGAGAACGGAAACGCTCGTTTCTCAAAAAGTAGAGGGAATCTTACGGTCTCATTCGATCAGAAGGTGGGAAATATATAAATCTAGTCAGCTAAAAAGGTTTGAAATGTGTTCATTGCACATGTATAGAGAAAATGGTGCATTGGCCAGGTCGGTCAGTATCGGAACTTAAAATGCAAATGCCAGGGAGAACGGAAGCGCTCAGATCTCGCATAGTACACGGAATCAAGTGGTCTCACTCAAATAGAAAGTAGGAAAGGGTTTGAAAGGTAACTAACGCACATGTGTAGAGAAAATTGTGCATCGGCCAGTCTGGCCGGCATTTCGCACTTATAGTGCAACTAGGGCCAAGGAGAACGGAAACGCTCATTTCTCAAAAAGTAGAGGGAATCTAGCAGTCTCACTCGATCAGAAGGTGGGAAATATATAAATCTAGTGAGCTAATAAGGTTCGAAAGGAATCTAATGCATATGTATATGGAAAATGGTGCATTGGCCAGGTCGGTCAGTATGGGAACTTAGAGTGCAAATGCCAGGGAGAACGGAAGCGCTCAGATCTCGCATAGTAC